CCCGCCCCGACGGGGCCGCCGCGCGCCAGCATTAGCTTACGCCGCAGTGACGAACGGCGCGCCCGCCAACGGGCGGCGAGGGCAGCCCGAAGGGCGGGAGGTGTGCGCAGAGCAAGGCAGGGTCCGGGCGGAGAGGGGAGCGGCGGGGGCCGAGCGACGCCCCAGAGCCCGCCCACCTCACAGCGGGATTGGCCGGCAGGGGGACTGACGGGCAGGAGGCCAGGCCCGCGCCTTGGGCCGGCCCGGCGGGGAAGGGGCGGGGCGCAAGCGACGTTGCCCCGGGCAACGAGCCCGGCTGAACCGGGAACTGGGCCTCCGGTCCGGCAGGGGGCAGTCGCCCGCGGCGCCCTCGACGGCCTGAGCTAAGTCACAATTCCTGACTGGCGTTCAAGGCCCGTCTCCCCGCTCCTTCTGAACGTCGCCGCTTCGGCGCCGCTGTGCCCCGATCCGGGGTATAGGTTGGCACTACCAGCTTTCTTACCGTATCCCCTTTCTGAGCCTGTTTCTTAGTCTCTCAAATAGGAAAGAATCGAAAGAGACGCGGGGTCCACAGAGGCCGTCAATAAACGAAAGTTGTTGCTATGGTTCTTGTAAGTGGTTATTTCCACAAACTTTCCGGGATCGCTGTGAACTGATCAGGGAGAGGATCGTCGTTCCGAACGCTCTCAGGAGGTGGAGGAGGAACTCAAGTGCTACAGTAGGGGGTCGAGGGTAGAGATGAAGGCAGGGAGTGGGGGTGAGAAGTGAAACAAGGCAGAAGTGCGGCTACCAGTGGGGGTCTGGATTTGACCTGAGGGCCCTAGAGAGCCACGGAGTTACTTCAAGCTGGAAAGCTACGGTGAATGGAGGGTTTGGAAAGGTTTTTCTGGCTTCTCTGTGGGAGGACGGACGGGAGGGACTAGAACTGGGACACGGGGTCCAGGGAAGTAGCCGAGTGACAGATGGCATTTATACCAGGGTGAGATAAGAAGCAGAGAACTGGAGGTGGGACAGCCCCTAACTGAACGACCCATTGCCTGGCTAGTGGCAGAAGGGTGAGAGGGAGATACCCAAGACAAGGTGCTCTGACTGGCTTTGCGTGTGTTCCCTGAGGAGGAGACCCAGAGGACAAGCAGGTCTGCACACCGCCTGCATCTGGAGCTTCAGAGAGACCATGGGGCTGTAAAACAACATCGTCAAAGATGGTAATGAAAAGCTGTGGACATAATGACCTAGCCTGAGGGGATCAAGGATGAGTGGTGGAGAAAAGAACCCTACAGAACCCCGAGAAAAGGGGACATGTCAGTTTTGAGCCAAAGACTTGACACTCTCAACCGACTAAGATGGAGCAAAGTGAGGAGAGAAAACAGGAGAGCCTGGCATCAGACACTATGGAAAGCTCAGCGTGGGGGAGAGCACAAATCCCATTTACTACACACCCCTACAACTCCACAACAACTCACACACTATAGAGAATGGTTCATTGATTTATTCAGTGATATTCCTTGAGTACCTATGTGTCAGGAAAGGTTCAAGGTACTGGAAGTTCAACAACGAATAAAGCAGGCAAAAACTCCTGCCTTCATGAAGCTTATATTGTGGCCTGGGGAATGAACAATAAACACACTGTAGCTTGGTGTTTATTACTTGATAAACATAATGCCAGATAAGGGGATGGAGAGATGAGGCCTGTGAGGCCTACCCTGTTTCCAGTCGGAAAGATCTCTTTGATCAGGTGAGATCTTAACAGAAATTTGAAGGGGTAAAGGAGTGAACATGAAGGGGAAAAAGTATCAAAAAGAAGGACAGCAGGTGCAAAGGCCCAGTGGTAGGATTATTCACAGAATGAGAATATCTATGAGAGCCGTGTTAGTATTTGCGATAGGAGTTGTCTTCTGACTTGGGTTTGGTTAGGAGCTGTCTGACAGTGTGAAGAACAGAGCGGAGTAGAACAGGAAACAAGTTGGGATGCCTGGGATAATTCAGTCAGGAGATAAAGGTGTTCAGGACTGGGGTATGGGCTGTGGAGTGGGAAGAAGGAGACAGGTTCTGGTCACACTTGGAAGTTCAGAACTGACAGGTTCTGACATATGTTGTAGGAGGAAAGAGAAGGATCCAGGATTCTCTAAGACATCAAGGAGACTAATGAGATTAGGAAGAGAAGAAGATGGGTGGAGGGCCCTCTCTGGTGGCACAAACAGTTAAAGAGCAGCACTAGGAAGCTATCTGCAGCCACTGCAGCACGAGTTCAATCCCCGGCCAGTGAGGTGACCCACATGGCACAGCAGACCTCTCCTGTCTCCCCCACTGCTCCCCTCAGCAGTTTCAGTAGATATGTCTGTTCTGCTCCCCACTCTGTCTCTGGAGAATCCTCTCACCCCCTGCACTTCTGGTCTGTACCCCAGTTTTTGTTTGCATAAATAAATCTTTACCAATAAAAGAAGGTGGCTGGAGATGAGGAAACCCAGGACTGAGCTCCAGGTCACTCCTCTGTTAATAGAAGGATCAGCCAGGGAGGCTGAAAAGCAGCAAAGGAAGAGGAGGAATAGCAGCTTGGAGAGGTGTCCTGAGTTACCTCAGTAAAGGCGTGATGGCCAATGCCAGCCAGAGCTGACAGAGATGTAGATGAAACAGAAATGACGCCGTAGAGGCCACGGTGGCCCTGACAAGGCTGTGTCCAGAGGATGATGGGAATGAGGGACTGCTGGCAGGGGTGACCAGAGGGAGTGGTTGGCAGGACACAGTCAGTATAGATCATTCTTTCAAGAACTTTTGCTGAAAGAGAAAGGAAATGAAGGGGCAGTGTAAGCACGGAAATGGGCTTAATGTGTGAGATGGAAGAGATAGCAGTGCGCTGCAGGGGAAGACCCAGCAGACGGGGCGCCTCCGTGGTACAGGAGCTGGAGAATAGTCGCCCTGGAGTGGCAGGAGGGGCTGTGCCCAGTGCCCAAGGGGAGGCTCTGGGGGTCAGCTGAGGTGGGGCTGTGAGTATTCACATCTCCTTGTTGAAAGCACAGGCTCCGGCCCTCCCAGAAGGGCAACGGGTTAAAGCACAGCACTGTGGCGCTGTCTGCAGCCACTGCAGCACCAGTTCAATCCCCCACATGTGGGAGCTGCCCCACAGGGCGCAGCGGACCCCTCCTGTCACCCTGCTGCTCCCCTCAGCAGTGGATTTCACTTGAACTACCCGTTCTGCTCCCCATTGTCTCTGGTGAATCCTCTCACCCCCTGCACCTCTGGCCTGTACCCCAGTTCTTGTATGCTTTAAAAAAAGAAGCAGAAGAAATGTACAGGCTCTCCTATGAATTATTTTTCCTTTATATGACATTTAGGATATTATATTTCTTTGGGGGAGAATGTGTGTAAGTAGGTTACATTAGCTAGGAATTTCACTTCAGGATAGGAAGGAGGCAAACCGAAATGCTTTTAGTTGAAAAGCAGAGGATTGGTCTGACAGGTGGGAATGCCACTGGTATAGGGTCAGTGAGGTTGAAAAATTGCAGGAAAAAATGTGCTGTGGTCTCTCTTACTTTCCCCATCAACATGATGGGTGACAGTCTGGCCAGCAAGTAGCTCTAAGTTCTCTTTTTCTGTGTTGCATTCAAATAGTCCAAATGGGGAAATCCAGGAAGGCTTCCTGGAGGAGAGAGGCTGGCACAAACTAATTGTTAACCTCTACTGCACACTGACCACACATGAAGCTCTTTTATCCTCATGACAATCCTTAGCTTGGGTCACACAGCAATGCTGAATTTGAAGCCTGGTCTGAGTGATTGCAAGCTTGGGAGGTCCTGGTTAGAGGAGGGGAAGTAAAGAGGGGGAGGAGCCCTCTGTGACAGTTGTCCCGGAACAGGCATAAACAGGATGTGGTGTTAGATGAAACCTTTTCCCTACCCCACACCCCGCCCCCCAAGCCCCAGTCCCCACCCCTAGAGGACAGTGGAACTGAGACACGAAGGAAGAACCAACCGTGTGGACAGAAAAGTCATGGTCAGGGGCTGGGGTGGGGGAAGGGGAGGGTTAGGGTCTGGGGTGGGGGTGGGCTAAGACGGGGCCTGGGTGAAGATCAGGGGCTGGGAAGAAGGACCCCACCGTATACCACAGGGCCTAGCTGGCAGAAGGGAGATGGTGATTTGGGGTTCAGATCCAGGCAAGCAGGTCTGGGTCTCCCCAAGTGTCGCCTCAGGGTGCTGAGCCCAGCCTCTGCGCTGCACCTGAGCTGTGAGCCCCTGGGCCCGGGGAAGGGTGCATTCTGCTGGCACACACAGGGTCTCACATGGGCCGTGGTGACCCTCCTTCTCCCTAGAACATGGAGATATGGGGTTTGGGGAATGAGGAGGGGACTGAGACCAGCCAGACCTGCTCAGCTCTCTGCTTCCCTGGCAGTCTGACTCCCTGGTGGTGTGCGAGGTGGACCCAGAGCTAAAGGAAAAGCTGAGGAAATTCCGCTTCCGAAAAGAGACAGACAATGCAGCCATAATCAGTGAGTGTTATTTCCTCCCTGAAGGGTGGGAGTTGGCCGGCGCCACACAGGGAGGGCCAGGCTGGTGGCACCAATGGCTAGGAGGGGCTACTAACACTGCTGTACTCCCACACACAGTGAAGGTGGACAAAGACCGGCAGATGGTGGTGCTGGAGGAAGAATTTCAGGTGAGGGGCTGGTGTGGATGGGACCCCCAGACATACACGGTGGGACTGGGAGGCCCAAGGGGCTAGAGCTGATGCTAAGAGCTTGGCATTGGGAGTTAGAAAGACCTGGCTCCTTTCAAGTCCAGCTCTGCTGTGACCCTGAGCAACGATTTCACCTGGGTAGGTCTCTTTCCTCATCTGTGAGATGGGGATAACAGTTCAAACCTCATAGTGTGGATTCAATGGCTTTTTTTTTTTTTTTTACAAAGATTTATTTATGGATACAAGAGAACTCACCAAAGATAGAGCAGGGAGCAGAACAGGAGGATCTACTGAAATCCACCGCTGAGGGGAGCAGCAGGGAGACAGGAGAGATCTGCTGCGCCCTGTGGGTCAGCTCCCTGGCCGGGGATGCTGCAGTGGCTGGCGGTAGCTTGATGTGCTGAGACTTTAACCTCTGTACCATCAGGGAGGCCCCTGGATTCAATGAATTAATCCTTGTTTAGAACATAGTAGACCTAATAGGTGCTCAATAAAATCAGAACGCTGATGGTAATAATTTATCAGTACTCAAATGAAAGCATTCCAGTTAGTGTCACAAAAAACCTAGCAGAAATCCCCTAACAAAGGGCAGCCTCAGCTCTCTCCTCAAGTTCCTTGTCAGTAACAGGGATGATGATAAGGCTTACTTCCTAGTAGGGTAGGAAGGAGCGAGGAGGGGGTCATGGAGACTTAAGCTGGGACAGTTTGATCAGGGCTGGGGACTACTCTGGTCCTGCCTCCCTCCCGTCTTTGGAAAAGAAGTTCAGCAAAGGGATCATAATTTGAAAGCAGATGCAAATCCGGACTCTGCTGATTATCTGTGCAAACAGAAAGTGTCTTAATGGTGGGGCCTCAGTTTGCTGACTCACAGAGTGGGCATAATAAATGGACGGACCTCACAGGGTGATGTTAGTTAATCCAGGGGGGTTTCTTAGCCCAGTGCTTGGACACATTGTGTTGTTTTGATGGTGGTCTCTTTCTCTTCCTGTTTTTATTTTGTTGCTACAGAACATTTCTCCAGAGGAACTAAAAACAGAGTTGCCAGAGAGACAGCCCAGGTACCCTGGGGGAAGGCAGGGGAGGGTCAGGCCACAGTGGAGGAGTGATGATGGAGGCGGGGCTGAGGGTTCCTCCATCCTGGGGCTCAGGTCCCCATGTTTGATGCCCAAATTCATATACGGGGCTATTTGTTTACATACTAATATTTTACTGCCTTTTTTTTTTTTCAAGTTTCCGTCTCAACACTGCACTTTCTCCCTTTATAAAACTGACATTTTCTTATTTTTCAAGGCTTGGAAATGCTTTGGGGGAAACAAAGGAATGATCTGGTCTTTAACGATTATGGAAAATTCTGTGGAAGTCACAGGACCCTGGTGCATTTTTTGTGGGAGGAGGATCTTTTGATACTTTTATGACAACTGGTCTGTTTGGAGTTTTCATTTCAACTGGGTGAATTTGGGGGAACTTGGGACTTTGAGCTTCAGTCCCAGGCAGTAAGTCTCAGCCAGGACAGTCACGAAGGGCTCCAGACCCACACACTTTGGGGTTACCCTCCATAACTACCTGCCATCTTGAAAGTCTCCATCCTTTTATCTTTGAATTTGTCTTTGGTGTCAAATCCAGTGAGACCACTGGCCTTGTGCAGGGGACCTGGAAGCTTGGGTCACACCGGTACCCGCTCCTCTGTGTGGGTTCCCAGCCACCTCCCTCCCTCTCTGGCCTAGTGACCCCGGTACCTTCTGCTGCAGGCAAGGCCTGAGCGCTGGCTCAGGTCAGGCAGAGAAGCACTTGCCTGCTTGACACATTCCAGGGGCGCTTGCAAGCATCTGTTACCCTCCCACCACCACCACCACCACTACAAATGTCCCCAGGGCCAAGACAGTACTACTTTAAATAGCAGGTTTAAGACCATGATCGGGCTGGAGAGAGACTGATGAAGAAAGGAAAAGACTTTTCTCCTGTCTTTTGAGCAAAGCGCCCCAGACTAGAGTTTTGTGCTGGGCTTGGCAAATTCGTCCAAGCATGGACTCAGCCTGCTCTCAGCGCTGGACAGCAAAATGGTGGAATTCCTGCTTTCCACCCATGCTGAACTTTATGGTTCCAACCCTCCCTCCAGTCATAGAACTTGAGACCAATGACCACACCTTTTGGGGCCTCAGTTTCCCCACCTGCAAAATGGGCATAATAGCAGCTACGCTGTAGAGTTGTCGCAAGTCAAAAAAAAATCACTGGCTGTTATTATTCTGATTCAGTTACTGTATTTGAGGCCAGTTCTTGGGGCCTCAGTGGCTAACATAAGGTTTTCTTGCTCAAGCAAGATTTCAAGTTAATGACTGCTGGGTCTGGTGTCCAGAGTCCTGAGCTCGACTTCCCTTGCACTATGCAGGTTCGTGGTTTACAGCTACAAGTACGTGCATGCAGACGGCCGGGTGTCCTATCCCTTGTGTTTCATCTTCTCCAGCCCTGTGGGTGAGACGCGGCACCAACTCCCTGGGAAGGGGTCTCAGACACCTGTGTGAAGTGTGTAAGCGTGACTCTGGGAGAGCAGGTGTGAGACTGCATGTGCCTGTGTGAATGAATGTGACCGCAGACAAGGCTGTGTGGATGTGTGCAGGCGTGTGACCGGGCCAGTGAGTGTGTCACGTGTGGTGAGTGCCGGGCGGGAAGTGGATGGAGGCGGGAGCTCAGATTTTTCAAGAGCTCATGGGTTTCTATAACTTCAAGTCCTCCCACAAACCTGGCCCACCTGAGCTTAGCTGCAGGGTCCTCCTTAGAAGACTCCTTGGACCCTGAGAAAACTGCAAGGCTTGTGAGACATTACCAGGGCCTTGGGGAACACCCCAGGTCCCCCAGCTATATGTCCTCTTGTCCACACAGGCTGCAAACCCGAACAACAGATGATGTATGCGGGGAGTAAGAACAGACTGGTGCAGACAGCAGAGCTCACGAAGGTCTGGGCCTGGAGGTTCTGGGGAGTTAGGGAAGCACTTTGGGGAGGGGTTGGGTGTAACAGGGAGGGAGGAATCTGGGTTCTTGGCCCAGGGGAGGAGGGGGCCTTCCCCCCCCCCAGCGGATCATAATGCTGATTTCTCTCTACCCAGGTGTTTGAAATCCGCACCACTGAAGATCTCACAGAGACCTGGCTCCAGGAGAAGCTGGCTTTCTTTCGTTGACCTATGGATTGGGGACCTGAATTCCTGATGTCTGGGTCCTCAGAAGAACTGGGGACTTGTATCCCTAGGGCCTGAATGTCTGAAACCCTAGAGGAATTAAATGCCAAAACTCAGATTTTCAGTTCTGCAAAGTTTCTGCCTTTAAAATTAATTTTTGTTCTTGGGCGCAGGATGGCAGTCCCTGCAGTACCAGCCTTAGGCCAGCAGAGGGCAGGCAGAGCAAGTGGACCCCTGCTGCGATCTCCGCGGGGGGTGGGGGGACCCGTGAGCACACACACCTCAGAAAAAGGAGAATGCCTGTTTGCCTGAGGGAAAGGGAAGGACCATTAGGACTCCCTGGAGGGCAAGGGGGGAGGTCCGGTCTCCTAGAGGAATGAAAGGACTGTGTGAACCCTCAAAGGGGCCATTCCGAAGGCCACCCCCCACCTCCACAACACCTGGGCCCTTAAGAGCAAAGGAGGCAGCCTGTGTTTCTCCTCCTCCCCCTTCCCACCCCAGTTCTAGACGCTAGTTCGCACTCGCTTGCACCAAAAGCTACTACTGTTCCCTTGTGAGTCCCGGACAGGAAGAAAGTGAAAGCAAGGGAGTCCCTGGAAGAGCAAATATAATTGCTTTAGGGGCTCAGAAATTGCTGGGTGGCTGGTTTGCATGACATGGTTAAGCCTGAGAACCCAGGGTTGGTCCATTTGGAGCCTCTTGCCTCTGACATCTCTGGGCATTCGAGTCTCTGTCTCTCTCTGGGAGACACTAATTGAGCACCCACTGTGTGCGGTAGGAGCCTTCCTGGATGGATAGGTCTTCGGAGACCAGCCGCTCTTTCTGTCTCTAAGCTTCCCCCCCCCCCATGTCTCTGATTGTTTCTCTTTCTGTCCCCAGATTCAGGGACCTGGGCTCTCCCCCTCCCTTCACCCCTTTTCAGGTTCCCTGTAGAGAGGTGGCCGTTGCCATGGCAACAATGACACAATGACCTTGGGCCCAGGGCTGCCCCTCCTCCAGCCCTGTCATTCCTAGGGGAGGGTTCAAAATCCCTGCTCCAACCCTGCCCCCTCCCTCCCAGCCTTAGCACACCACCCCCTCCTCACCCCAAACTGCCGCATTCCTTGCTCCCTGGTCCCCAGTCAGGACAAGCCCTTTGTAGGATTCAGGATAGACTCACTTCACTTTACACTACGCTACAAAGAACTCCTTCTTACCTCCATTTTTTTTGTGGGGGGAAAGTTTGGCTTGAAATTTTCTCTTTGACACTATCCCGACCCCCAGCCCCCCAACTCACCTCTCTGTGATGTCTCTACTCCTCTTTCCTGATCACAGACTCAGTCCCTGGTGACTAGAGTCATGAGAAGGTGGAGGATTGGGGTAGGAGGGTCTATTGTATTAAAAGGTCAGGGAACTCCCAGCCCAGAAGCCAGAGAGGCAAGATTGTGCAAGGGAAGCACTTACTGATCAAACTAATGACAAGCTTCCGATTGAGGGTCTCCTATGTGCCAGGTACTTCAATAAGCACTTTACTGGTATTAACTCATTCAGTCCTTACAATACTCCATGAAAAAGGAGCCATTATCATCTCACATTTACAGATGAAGAAACTGAGGCCCAGAAGCCAAAAACCAATTGCCCAAAGTGACACAGCTGGTAATTCCTACAGTCAGAACTTTAACCTGGCTACCCAAGGACCACTGCCTTTCATAGATTATGGATTTAGGGAACCATGCCCTTCCCTGCCACCCCTTCCCAGCCACCTCCTTCCTCTCCATCCTCCTCCTCCTCCTCACTCCAGAAAGCCCTACGGTAGAACTTTCTGCAGCTAAGCTCCTGATTAAAAACAATCCAATGGGAAAAAGGCATGTACAAAGACCTGTCCAATCAGGAGTGGGGAGCTTGACAAGCAAGGACCAACCAAAAAGGATGACTCTGAGGGCCCAATACAGAGTAGGTTTGGCTAGAGGATTGTGAAGGGACCAATCAGAGAGGTCATAGCAGACTATGCTACCCAATGAGGTGTCAGCAGGATGGGGCGTGGCTTCAGGCTTGGGGCCACGCCTCCTAGAGGCGGTTCAAAGGGGGACTGCCTCTCTCAATCTACTTTTGAGGCTATTACAGACTGAGGTGCCCTGATTTTTTAAAATCCAGGGTCGAGACTTTCCCTGTTGACCTTGAATGTGTCCAGGGGTGATGATGGAGAAGGAAAGACTGGATCTTAAGGCCTGAGAATGGAGACCCAGTATAGGCATCAGTGTTCTGGCTGAAAATTGGGAACTTCGGAGTGGAGCCCAAGGTGGCGGGGTGGAACTCAGGCTGATGGGTTGGGCTTTCACTTGGGGGTGGGCCCCAGGCTGAAGATTGACCATTACATACTTTGGGGTGGTGACTGAGGTAGGAGGGTGGGACATAGGTTGAAGGGTCATGCCTTTGATCTGACAGCACTGGCTTTTATTGGGGGGGGGGTGCCTTAGCACAGAGGGTGAGGACTAGGTTGGGGAGCAGAGCTAAATTGTGGGAGAATTAGATTGGTCAGTGTCTACATTAGCAACCTTGGGGCAGGAACTGGGGTCCCAGGGATATATTCTAGCTGTCTACTTACACTTTTTTTTTTAAGATTTATTTATTTATGCATACAGAACTGGGGTACAGGCCATAGGTGTGGGGGATGAGAGGATTCACCAGAGACAGACAGGGGAGCAGAACAAGCAGATGTACTGAAATACACTGCTGAGGGGAGCAGCAGGCAGGTCAAGAGAGGTCTGCTGCGCCATGTGGGGTCACCTCCCTGGCCGGGGATCAAACTCATGCTGCAGTGGCTGTGACAGCTTCATAGTGCTGTGCTCTAACCCGCTGGGCCACCAGCGAGGGCCCTACATCCACTTCTTACCCTTTTGTACACTCTCAGGCACCTAGCTTCTACTGGGAGCCAACTGCTATTCTGGACACCACAGAAAACTGGCACCAGTTAGGAGGCTTCTTGTCAATGACTAGACAATCAGAAATTAACAATTATAGAAATAAGCAACGTGTAAACAACCAAGGAAATACAATCTTTACCAAGGGCGGAGAAGTGCTATGGGAGAGATAAAGCGAGGGGGTGGGTGTACCTGTTGGGGCTAGTTTTTTAATTGCTTCTTTGGTCTCTAGAAGTCTCCTTTTGCTTCCCCCTCACCTCTTTAACATTTACTATGAAAAATGTCAAGCAGGAAGCAAAGTTGAAATAATGTTACGCCAAATATTATGTACTCTCCACCTATCCATCCACCCTTCTTACTTTTTATGTCTTTCATAGTAATTTGCAGAGATCAGGACAATTGGCAGGATGTAACTTGGGGTTTAAAAAGGGGCCTCTGAAAAGACAGCTGAACTAAGACTTGAATGAAAAGGAAAAATCAGGCATGGGAGGTGAAGCACATGCAAAGGCCCGGGGGCCGGAATGAGTGGGTGCGTTGCAGGGATGGAAAATGCATCACTGAGTGTGCAAGTCTCGTGGCTGGGGATGAGGCCAGACAGATTCTGTGTCTCTCATTTCCTCTCCTGTCCATTCCAGGCCTGTCCACACCGCTTTCCCTTTCACCTCCTTCCTGTTCTGTCACTTTCTCTCTGCAGCCTTGGGAAAGTGCTTAAGATCTCTGTCGCCCAATTTTTCCCAGCTGAAAATAGGGCTAGTTAGGGATCTCATCCGCCTGCCGTGTAGAATGGATGCAGTCAGACGTGAAGCCCACCCAGCACACAGTGGGACCGGACATATGTTGTTCCCTTTGCTATTGTATTTTGACTTCTGTTCTCCCAGGCCTGGACCCCCAAACCCCGGTGGGGAGCAGCAGAAACCAGGGTAGGGCTGGTGCCTGGTTGATGGTGAAGCTGGAGACGGGGGGGGGGCACAATGAGGGCGCCTAGGGGCTAACTAATGGTTATGAGGGGGCTCAGGGTTCACTAGAGAAGGCTCTGCAGGGCGCCCTTGAACTCGGGGCAGGGCTGGTTTGGTGTGATGATGGGTTAGGAAGAATCTAGGAGAGGAGTTTGGAGGAGAAGAGGTTTGATGTAACACTGGGATCCAAAAATGGGAACAGGGAGGAAATAATGGTGGGAACAAAGTGGGGGTCAGGCCCAAAGTTCCCTGGTAAGGGACTGTGGTGCTTCAGTAGTGGGTGTGTTGTGGTAACATACACCTGAGGAGGTGTGAACCTATTCCCCTAAATCATACAGTTTTGAAATCACTCATACATCAATTAAAAAAAAAAAGGGGGGGGAAGGATTTGGGCCTATAGTGACTTAGAAGGTTGCAATAAAACAGACTTTGATGGGGGTAGGGGTGGGGTGTCTTGCTAGGTTTGGGGTCCTGATGAGTGTCTCAGAAAGACAAGGACAGCAGTAAGATATAGTGGTATTTGGGGAGGGGCCTGGGATCAACTCCTGGGTAGTGGTTAGGCAAGGTATTCTGAATAAGAAGGGGCAAGGGGGCCCTCCCTGGTGGCGCAGCAGGTTAAAGCACTGCACTGAGAAGCTAAAGCCACTTCAGCACGAGTTCGATCCCCGCCCCAGAGGTGACCCACATGGCGCGGCAGACCTCTCCTGACCCGCCCGCTGCTCCCCTCAGCAGTGTACTTCGTCAGTCGGCCTGTTCTGCTCCCCACTCTGTCTCTGGTGAAGCCTCTCTGGCCCTCGCAGCTCTGGTCTGTACCCCAGTTCTGTATGCATAAATAAATAAATCTTTAAAAGAAAAAAAGAAGAAGGCGCAAGGAAGTTGGGGCTCCATGGCAATCACAGGGAAGGGGCAACGTCTGCAGAGCCTGACAGAGAGAAGAGAAAGAGGGTAGAGGCGAGGCCAGAGTTTGGGACAAAGCAGAGTTTCTGGAAACCAAGGGGTGCTTTGGAGGGGAGGGCAGTCTGGGGTCTAATGGGGGGTAATAGGATCTCCCATGGGGATAAGGAACAGTATTTGGGCCCCCTAGAAGTTAGACATGGTCTGTTAGGGGTCAGGGAATGGCTTGAGGTCTTTGAGGGTAAAAGGACACGGCTGGGGGGTCCCCAAGAAGGAGTGGGATATGGCTTGTGGTCCTGAATGGCTGTAGGACTTGATCTGGGGTCTCCCTGAATGCTGACACATGGTCTGGGTTTTCTCTGAATGTTGGGGTATGATCTGAGGTTCCTCAGGGATAGGGTGTGGTCTGGGGGTCTCCTCATTATTGGGATGTGACTTCACGTCCCAGATGGGGGTGCTCTGGATTCCCTTAGATGCAGGGACATGGTCTGGGATACCTCTGGACTGGGGGGCATGGTCTGGGGGTCCCTGATGGGGTGCGGGGCAGAATCTGAGGTCACCAAGGAGAGTAGGACATGGTTTGTGGTCCTGGGTGGCTGTGGAAGATGATTTGGGTCCTCACAGCAGGTAAGGCATGATCTGACACCCCCTGGGTATTGAGACAGGATTCCAGGTCTCCCCTGGGAGATCCGGGGTCCCCCAGCCGGGCGGGGCGTGGTCGGGGGGGGGG